AAACAAAAGAAACAAAAAATTGAAGTTGAGTAACCGATCAGAATGGAGCATATCAGTCGCTAATGAAATTGAGAAAAAATATCCTCTGCATTAATAAATTTAAGAATTGGAAATCTTTCAATGTTTTAATATATTACTTCCACTCTATTGAATTCGCCTGAAACTTAAACCGCTAAAAAATATTCTTATTCTCCGAAAAACACTAATAACGTCAAAGATAGAAACGAAAACTATAAAAAGACAAATAAAAGGCCAGACCACCATTTTACAACAAAAAGTATCGGTTATCGAAAAGATAAAATAACACTCGCTTTTTAATTTTATTTCTCTTTTTAGCGATTAGGGTGAACTATACTGCTACATTGAAACATGGTCTGAACTCAAATCCGTAAATATATTATATATTTCTTTTGTTTATTATATACTTTTCTATTTTTATTATATATGAATGTTTAAGGAATTTTTTATATTTTTTTATAAAATGTTTTACAAGTTTCTCTGCAATTTTTAGTGTTATTTGATATATTTTTATGATTAGTTGATTTATGTTTTAACTAATTATTATATTATATTATCTGAAAAAACTTAATTTCTTAATATTTATATTTTTAGGTAGAACATCATTTATTTATATTTATGTATGTATATTCAAAAATATTTAATTATGTAAGAAAAAAAGTTGCATTAATGACTGAACTTTATTCTCTCTTTTAAAAAACACGAATGATCACGATTGGATATGGTCAAACCAAAAGTTTTCGATTGCCGTTACAGAAATAAAGAAAAAACATACGCCTAATTATATTGTAATAATCAATGATATTTGTTTTATCTGCTACATAACAATCTATTACATAAAAAAACACTATAATAAACACTAAACCAGCTTTCGCGTACTTTGGATTTTAAAGTTGAAATGTATATTGTATGTTGAATTCAAAGTTTTAGTTAAGTGAGAGACATTTATAGGAAGTTTGGTTAAATTCAATTGTTGCTTTGAAATTACACACACTTGTCATCATTAAAGTTACGCAATTGAGTTTGAAAGATGGAACCTCTACAAAAAGACTTTCCCATCATTATGCATATATATTTAATTGTTTCCACGACGAACATATATATTTCACCAGAAAACAAAAGTCAAGATCTCTAAAATGCGGGTTGAAATACATTGTTTCAATTATATTTCACCAGAAAACAATGTTTTATGGAGAGCGAACTAAACTTTAGATATCATGGTATATCTGCAAAACTTAAACGAATGTTAGAAACTAATATACATTCTAGACAGGAAAACTGTATTATTCGAAACAAAAAAAAAATTTGCACAAAATGTTTTTTTGAAGGTTTTAGATTTTTAAAATTTATAAACCTAAATGAAAACTGTATATTGAATGGTTTAGTTTACTTTATTTGGGGTGCATGGTTTAGTTATTATGTTTTTAGTTTAATTTTTCAATTAGATTTATTTCTAGTTTGAATAAAAAGTATTTTTTTAGATAATATTTCTTTGATTTATATATTTTTAGTTTTACACTGTTTTGATTACGTAAAAATAGATATAATTATATTGAACAAACTAATTTTATTTTACCTTTTTGCTAAGAAAAATTATAGAATTTATTTAAAATTTTAAAGCTGACGTAAATCAAACATGTAATAGATTAATTTTTGTTAAAATATATAGTAAATGCTTATTTGGTAAATAAAATTGGGCTAATATAGATATAATAGTATTATAAGGAAAGTTCAATTTTTCTTGTTAGAAAAAATTAACTTTATCTATTAATTAAAAAGTGATCTTTTTGCTTAATAATCATATTAAAACACAAAATTAAAAATATAGTTAGTAATTCTAAAATATAGAGAATAACTATGACTTAGTTTTTAGGACAAAAATATCTTTATAGAAAGAGAGGAAAAAACAAGAGCTATATACTATTTTATATATACATATATATATAATAGCATATTTTGTTTTCCGTCATTTACTATTTATATTATAAAATAATATAAAAAATATTAATCTCAGATGACATTTACTCAATCTTAATGTGCTATAGATCTATAATAATAAATTCACATATTTTAAAACTAAATCCAAACCACTACTTATTAATATATCCAAATCTCCCGAACTTAAACCATATAATATTATCTAGCTGTAACTTTTAATCCGTTATATACCTTTGAAAATAAACTCACCTAATTTAAAACTAAATCCAAACTAATATTTACTATACTCAAACCTTTAAACATAAACCAAAAATATTATGTATATAGAATAACTCAAATTATTTAAAACTAAACCAAAGTTATACAAACTATACCCAAAACCTTCCCACTTTAAAATTTACTCTATTATATAAAATACAAACCAAAAGAGAGATAAACATAATCTGTACTACATTACTACACACAAATATTGTATACAAAATAACATTTTTTTGGATCTACTTATGAGTTTTAAAAATAAAACTACTATATTACACCATTTCATTAGTTATTAATTAATACATTTATAATTTTGGATCCATATAAAAAGTATTTTCATTGAATTAATAAATATTAAAAAGGGTTTAAATAACTATAATAAAAAAATATAGAATGCTATTTGTCACATGATATAAAATAGAATAGAATATAGAGTAATTTACTATTTAAGTTACATTACAGAAAATGATTTCTAAAAAAGACATTTAGGAAAAGTAGGTAGCTTATAAGTAGAGAAAAGATAAATATAACCTCATATCACTGTTCACTTGTGTATAATGTTAATAATTAAACTATTTTATCCATGATGTGTGTCCATTCAAAGCGTCCATGAGAGAAGTGTGCACAAGTGGTTGATGAACCGTGGACAATGAGTTGTGGACAAAGTAAGAGAAATTTGTAAATAATATTGTCCATGTGTCGTAAATTAACAACCCCTTCCATGAGTCTGTCCATGGTTAACTAACATTCTGTCCACTTGCGCATTTAAAATCCTCAGAGCATGGCAAGTCTTTTGCTTACTTGTCCACTCTCGAGCATCCACAGTGGTATAAATGTAGCATCCATGAAATGTTATCCATGAATTTTTTGATTGGTCTTGACGTCTATATGGTGTAAGTAGAGAAAACTAGTTATCCACAGTGGTTAACTAACAATCTGTCCACACTAGCAAATCTAAAACCCTCAAACCATGGCAAGTATTTTGCTTACTTGTCCACTCTCGAGCATCTACAATGGTATAAACGTAGCATCCATGAGATGTTATCCATGAATATATTGATTGGTATTGGCGTCTATGGAGGTGTAAGTGGAGAAAACTAGTTATTCATTGTAAGGTATCCATAGTGGATCGTGTGTTTATTGGATGTCTGAAGTCTAACCCTCTTAACTAGTCATTTGTGGTCGTCTATGCGCAACAACCTATGTGGTACGAGGTAACATTCGGAAGATGTAGTCTATGAATCTGTTGATTAGTCTTTCTCAATTTTTTTTCTTCATGTACATATTGTATTTCTATGTTGTATGTCCATGATGTCTGTCCATGAAGTAATATATTTGAAAGGTAAAATCGTCTTCGCAAACGTGAACAGTAAGAGAAAAATGACTGAGTTCTCCAATGTGATTTTTTTTTAAATTAAAATTTGAGAAAGTGATTTTTAATATAATTTTCTCTAGAAATACTAAAACATAGTATAGTATACAAAAATTTTGTATAGCTTAAAAATGACATATTTTCATTTCTTAGCCATGCTTCTTTAATCTCCAATTGTCTTCCACTCTCCAATTTGTTTATCTTGTATAATCAAAATAATATAGTAAATGCATTCAACGTAAATTAATAATTTGTATCAAATAGTATAGTTTTATTTTAGGATAAGAGATCAAATAAGGTTTATTTGGATATTATACAAATTATACAAAGAATACCATAACCATAGATTTGATATGGTCATCAAATTTATTATTGTTCTCAATATGGTTACTGAACCTAAAAATTTATTTAAAAAGTCAAAAAATCAGTTAATCTTTATCCATTTTTTCTAAATTCAATTAATCTTTATCTTAGTGAGGCTTTTTATTCCCTGTATCCTGTGTATAACCCAATGACAATAACAACACTAGGCACCAACTCATTATAACTCTTCATCCATTTTCTCTCTCTAAAAGTCACCATGTCCACCCAATGGATTTAACTTTGAATGTGACTAAGGAGAGAGAGAGAGAGAGAGAGAGAGAGAGAGAGAGAGAGAGAGAGAGAGAGGGAGGGCTTGAGGAAGGGGTTTAAGCAGATCTGCAAGAAACACTCTCAGGTATGGCGATACCTTAAATATATGAAATTACCATTAGTTTATTTCTTTTAATTTGACTTCTGGATTGTGAAAGTTTGCTTTTTTTTTTTTAATTACAACTCTGTTTTTTCTCTTGATAAATAATATGTTCATTGCATGTGATGCGAGCATATCTTCTCTGGGATACATTGGATTTGGGATCCTCTCCTTCTTCTTCTGCTAATGGGTGGAAAAAGAAAACAATTTTTTTTTATTTGTTTTAGAGAAAGTGCAACTTTTGATTTGATCACAATTCTTCCTCTCTGGGTATTTCTCTCAATTTCCCTAAATTTGATGGATTTGCGTTTCTCCTTCTTTTGGTTGTGTCATTTAGTCTGTGGTAAATCAATTAATCATTAATTATATACATACTGCATGCACGAGTTAACAACAATTAAAAATAATTAAGATGTAAGGGAAAACATCGATTAGCTATTATTATATTCGAGTCTCAAGTGATTCAAAGCGTTGTTAGATTTCATGGCATGGTGGTCCACTCTTTAAATAACAAAATCAAGTTCCTCATGAATTATTCTTATCTCATCAATAATACACACCTTTTTGTATATTTACTTTTCTATGTTTATTCGTTTTTTTTTTTTTAAAAAGAATACTATTCCATTTTACCTTTCTTGTGTTTATTAATCAAAATCTAGACAGTATTTTCGCTCCCCGTAGAATCTACCGGCGACGACAGTGACGGCAGAGAAAAGCGGCGGTCTTGGCCGCAAAAACGATGCAAAACCAGCTATGGTCTTTACCGCTAACGATATATCAAAATGGGAAAATTTTCCAAAGGGACTTAAAGTTCTTCTCCTCGACGGCGACGGCTTATCCGCCGCCGAAAGCCGATCAAAGCTCGAATCCATGGACTATATTGGTGAGCCATCTATTTTTTCCCTCCGTTACTTCTCTTAAACTTTTTATTTCCGCTTTTGTTCGATTAGAAAAAAGGATATTAATTTTTTAAGTCAATCATATTTGCCAAACATTTGAGTGAGAGACCTTACGAGTTTAATTTTAGTTACTTTAGCTCTTATATTGTCCCGTGACGATTCCCTTTTTTGTTGTTCATTGCCTGTTAATGGATATTATAACATTATTATATAGAGTTAATACGAATATGTATAGTGGATTCGCACCCAAAAAAAAAATATGTATAGTGGATTGTAGTAAAAAAAAGTAACGTTTAAGTCGGTTAAAAGTGGAAAACAGAAGTACTGAAGGTTGTGCAGTTATGTTTTGGAGTTTTGTTAGTTTACTTAATCACATTAATGGAATTCGGTAATAGAGATTATTGCATCTGAAGAAACAACTCATCAATGTTTATTTAAGACTCATTACATTCAGTTCTTGAATTTTTGGAACTTTCTTGCAGTCACTACATTCACTGATGAATCCGAAGCTCTCTCTGCGGTACTCAAGAACCCGGAGAGCTTCCACATTGCAATCGTCGAGGTGAATTCAAGTGCCGATAATGAGAGTTTCAAGTTTCTCGAAGCTGCCAAAAACGTTCTTCCTACTATAAGTTTGTGAACCATTTTATACAAGTACCCTTTTAAATTTCTATAAATCTTTACGAAAAAAACTCGTTAAAACGTGGATTTGTCTTTGTCTGTATACAGTGATATCGACCGATCATTGCATCACAACTACAATGAAATGCATAGCGGTAAGTGACCGTGACTTAACAACAAATGCCTAAATGTATATAATAATGTTTGGTTATGTGATGAGAATTGACAAGTGTTTTCCAGCTTGGTGCAGTTGAGTTCCTTCAAAAACCGCTCTCACCGGAGAAACTAAAGAATATTTGGCAACACGTCGTTCACAAGGTTCAGTTAGTTTTTGTTTTTTCACTTCTGTACATCTTTTGGTAAAATAGTAATCATCTAAGAAATGTAACATTTATTTGTTTGTTGTTGTTAGGCGTTTAACGATGGGGGAGCTAGTGTTTCGGAATCACTTAAGCCTGTTAAAGAATCTGTTGTATCGATGCTTCATCTTGATACCGATATGGTGACAACAACTGATGAGAAAGATCCAGCACCATCAACACCGCAACTGCAACAAGTTTTACGGTTAGTAGACGGGAACATAAACTGCTCGACGGAAAACGTACATTCCTCGACCGAGAAAGAGAACACGGAAGATCAAGACATCGGTGAATCCAAATCAGTCGACACTACAAATCGTGAATTAGTTGACGACAATGTGATTGTCAAAGAAGAGAAAGGAGATAGTGAGAAAGAAGAAGAGGAAGGCGAAAGCGGTGAGCTTAAAGAAGAAGAAGGCGAAACCGGAGATCTCAGAAGCGAGAAGACAGATTCAGTTAACTTCCATAGGAAAGAAGATGGTGTTACACCTGTTAATAAATCATCCTTCGGGACCAAGAACTTGTCTGGTAACAAAGCTAGTCGAAAGAAGGTAGTTTCAGGTTTATCTTTACGCTTTCTTGGTGCTAAAATGATTCAGGCTCTCTCGTTGATGAGTTCTTTCGTTGTCGTAAGGTGGATTGGACACAAGAGCTGCACAAGAAGTTTGTGCAAGCGGTTGAGCAACTTGGAGTCGATCAAGCGATACCTTCACGGATTCTTGAATTGATGAAAGTGGACGGCTTAACTCGACACAATGTAGCTAGTCACCTTCAGGTACTTGACTCTTAAAAGTGTCCGAATATTTTGCATAGATTCTTGAGTTCTTGGTGAAATGTTTAATATTTTTGGGGTTTTTGAGCAGAAATTTCGGATGCATAGGAGGAGTATTCTTCCAAAAGAGGATCATAACCATCGATGGATACAATCTAGAGAGAACCACAGACAAATTCAACGGCAATATAACGGTTTTCAGCAACAACAACGTCCTGTAATGGCTTATCCCGTTTGGGGTCTTCCCGGTGTTCATCCGCCTGGAGCAATCCCGCCTTTGTGGCCGCCTCCGCTTCAGTCCTCCGGTCAACTACCTCCGTGGCATTGGAAACCACCTTATCCACCGGTAACTTTTTAATTTATTTTTATGAGTCAAAAGATTTGAGTAACAAGGAAGTAAATTAGATTTATTACAATAAGAAAACATCATTAACTCACGGCTTATGTTGATGATACAATTTTGCTATGCATTGTCATTGTTTAAGTCGTAAATATTGTAAAATTAAAACTTGGTAATTTAGATAAGACTTAAATTGATATAGCTAAATCGTTGATTAATATTATATATAACCGTGTTTCAGGTGAACGGTAATGCATGGGGTTGTCCGGTTGGACCGCCGGTAACCGGACTATTCCATTCTCCTCCGGTAACTGGGACATTCAATACTCCTCCGGCGACTCAGCTGGTAAGTGTCGTAAATTCTTTATTTTGCAAGTTAGAATTGACAAATAAGTTACATCAAAATTATTAATTTCCGGGTCGGGTTGCGTTGGATTTGGGTCGGGTCAGGACGAGGAAATGATTGATCAAGTGGTTAAAGAAGCGATTAGCAAACCGTGGCTGCCGCTACCGCTCGGGCTGAAACCGCCATCCGCCGAGAGCGTTTTGGCTGAGCTTTCGCGTCAAGGCATCTCAGCCGTCCCTTCTTCTTCCTCCTCCCGTCTCAGCAACGGCTCTCGTCGTCTCCGCTGACGTGTCAATAAGCGTGGGACCCATGTAAAACCAGCAGATGTGATGACGTCATGCGTGGCGTCCTTATCCGTGTCTGACGGTCCGAAGCGGGACTTTGATTTCAGATAGAGAGTTTGGAGTTTGAAAGTTATTTTTATTTTTGTCATCAAAATATTTGTTTTGTTGTTATTATTGTTTAAGAAGAATCGGACGGTGGGAATGTGGGCCACGATGTTAGTTTGAGGACCACAAATTGGAATCTGCGGCTGTAAATAGATCTCGAACACGGGATTTTGACAGGTCGGAATCTGACGCTATTTCGCTTTTGTGGGTTGTGGAGGCGGGTCCCACTGGAGAATTTAATAGTTGACACTTTTTCTAGGTGATGAAATAAAAAAATAAAGTACAACTCAAAGATTCCGTGATGTCATTTTTATTTGTTTTTCTATAAATTCCAAAAAATACTACAACATATTGCGACAGCAAATTTATTCAAGAAAAGAACATTAATATTTTTTTTTCTTGTAACGGGATCTAATTCAATTAATCGGAATAAGAAATCAATTTTTGGAATCAGACATGCAAATTTGTACATTGTATTCTAGCAACTAGATTTTGATTTAAAATTATGTGACACTTCGTTTAGGCAAAAATGAAAAAAATAACAAATAAAGACCAATCCACTAAAACCCGCTAGCAAATACATATTATGTTCAAAATGAGTATATTTGATTTACATATCTGTTGGGCCTAAAAATGGGCCTAAAAATGAGAAATGTCCAAAATTGCACCTACAGTGAGTATGTGATACAACCCAAAAACGAATGATGTGTTAGAGATTTGATAAAATTCGATAAGATGATATCAAAAAGAAAAATAATAATTCAGAAGATCCATATGAGTTAAATAAAAACAAACAAGTCTAACAAATATAACTTCTAAAATCCAGTGGATGATGTAGTATTAAATTCACTTACACACTATTCTCGGTTAAGAAAAAAAAAGTCAATGTTGTCCAAGTCAACTATGTTAAATGCGCATATAATTTTTTTTTCCTTGCTGCTTTTGTAAAACTATGATCATGTGTAACCTTAACCACTTGGACACGTTATTTATTCGGCGGAATTCAACTAAAACCAACATTTTTTTTTGGAGTGCACGAATTGTGATAATTTATAGCATATTTATCGAATCATAAACTTTTAGTTTATTTAAATTGGCTGTTTTTCAATTGTACCCGAATTTTGAAAACATAATCGTAAATTCTAAACTACAAGCCGACTTTTTTCTAAGACAACTTTTTCTTCTTCAATGCATACAAATCCGAGAGAGCAAAACATTTCAAAACTATGGAGCAAGCTGAAAACATATGTACAGATAAAAATATAATTAAGATCTTTTTTTTTTCTTCAAGACATAAAATATCAGATGAAAAAAAAAATTGAGACAAATAGGAGTAATTAGACTTATATAATTATATCTGAATGGTACTTTTTAAAAACCATATTAAGACTAGGATTGGGCCAATGTAGGTATCAATGAATTATGAGTGGTGTACGATTGGTAAATGCTCAATCAATAAGATAAAAAAAGAACAACTTGTCGATCGAAAGGTTTACGGAACGAAAATCTACTATTTTCATATTCTTTTTTGTTTTTCGTACGGAGCTACCAATTAATCTCTCATATTTATGAGGCAGAGAATAGACATGACATGTGACACAAATACCCATTACTACCATCTCTAGTCCTTTAATCTTACAGCTCTTTTATACGGATGAGAGCTTACTTTTCTGTAGAACATCACAAAATCAATATATATATATATATATATATATATATATATGAGTCATTTATATTTAAGGGCTGACTTAGGGGATTAAATGTCTCTCAAGATGGAGAAGTGGTCGACATTTACAATAGAACTTGAAGAATTTTTAGAGGCTCGTAATCTTTATCCAGAGTTTGACTGTTATGTAGGCATCACGTGGATAATGTATAAAAGCATGAACTCATAATAATTTTTGTTTTTACGTTGATCTTTATGTATAGTAAACATTTTTTTACAGAAATTAACAAAGATAGTGTAATAATGTTGACATTTGACAAAGAAAAAGGCCAACGGTCGAGAATGCAGCTCTTTAGCCGTGTGACATTGAATGAAACACATATCGTTCGTTCGTCCACGATTTTTAAGTGCTAGTGCTTCTCTTTTTCTTATGTAAACCACTGGACTTTTATTATAAATGTATAAATAATACAATTAATCAGGTACACAAGCGTTTAAACGGTCTATAAGAAAAGTTATGAGCATCAACATCATGCACTCAGAGACACTTACTAAAAGCCATGAACGCCGTAAACAAAATAAAAACGTTTCAAAATGTTATGAACTCTATGTTTTCACAGCGGATTAAAAGCGTTCATGGCGATTTATGCTATTCTTTTTTTTTAAAAAAAAATCATATACAAAATGCTTTAAACATTTAAAATATTCACCATTTTGACGTTATTTGATTTGATATTGTTGTTAAAGGGGTGGGGGGAAGGAACAAATTTCGACTAAACACTGTTTAAAACATATTTTTACTATTAGACAGCTCAAAACGCAATATATTACTAGAGAGTACACTTGACTCCATTCAGACATAGTTTATGGTCCATGGCAGATATACATTTTCACATAGTGAAGATATTAGTTATATGTGATGATAATGCCACTCTCTTGCATGGTGGGATCTCCAATTCTCTCAAACCCGTATGGTCTAAAATCCCAAAACCCAAAGTGTGGAACAAAAGATAGTGATTTATGATGTAGAGAGATCTCACATTCCACTACAATTTGTAATTTTGTATACAAACAACACGCATCACCCTCATTTTATTCCTTTACAAAAAAAATAAAAAATATAAATATGGTTTTACTTTTTATTGTTATAATTAAAAACGAATATTCGAATTTATTTATCATCTTCTGGGGATTAGCATATTGTTTGCATTGCTGTCTAGACAAGAGGCCAGTGACACTCTTAGACAAATAGATTATCTTATATTTAAAAGAGAGAATAGATGTTTCAGGAAATGTCTAGGAAGAAAGGAGCGATCAAGGACAAAAACGTCGACCTTTGCTAGATGTGTTGTGACGAGTCAGTGCAGTGGCTCACAGCTGTGTAGTGCAACGGTACTTTATAACCGACATGGCGACATTTACCAAGTTTTGTTTTTACTTTATAACCGACATGGCGACATTTACCCAGTTTTGTTTTTCCTCGAAATTAAACCCAAAATTGCTATGTTGTTCTATCTTAGAAGGTTCATTATCGTCGGTATCACTTAAGAAATTGTTTTAAATTACAACTTCTGACAACAAAAAAAACGTAACTCATCAAAAATATTCCACGTATGTTTAGTTTGATTTGAACCAACTATGTTTCTGTGATATCTGAATACATTTTGGTACATATATTTGAGTGATATCTAAATATTATAACTCATATTTTTTTCTTAAATTTTTAAATTTATAACTTCTTACACCTATATTGATATTCCACTCTCAGATTTTCATGATCTATATTTTTATAAACAAAAATAATTACAAATACTAATAAAATGTTTTTATTCGTTTTCGTGTTATAATATATGGTTATATTATAGAAATTTATTTATCAGATGTGATCCTCCATGTATACAGAAAACTCATGTTTTAAATTCGAATGTACGAAAGTTATTGGTTATTAAACTGCAAATGAGTCTCTATGCTGGTTTTTTTTTTTGTGTGCTAAAGACGGGAAATAAGATTTTCTTCCTTAGACAAAAAGAATCCAAAGCATAGTTGTAAACTTGTAAGAGGGTCGTAGGGTCGGGTAATCATTTCATGAGGACGTGTGTATCTCTTTTTCTATTTTGCGTTACATCTAAGAGAGAAATAGTAACAATTAAATATTATTGTATGGGTCGTAATTAGTTCACATACCTTTTTAGTTTTAATGATTAGGATTGAGCTGTAAGAGAAAATGAAAGTTGAGGTCTCAAGTTTGATTTCGTAAAACCTATGGGGTTAACGTGAAGGTTTAGCTCAAACATATCTATCGTTAAGTGTTCTCCTTTGGGCTCACGAGGGGCCAATATTTCTCACCACCTCGTTGGTACAACTCCGTACACGCATATCTCTTTTATATATTACACACACCTACTATATTACACACACCTGCTATATTACACACCTGCTGTAGACATGGATCATGTATCAATGTATGCATGTAGTGACACAAAATGTAGTGTAATAATATATGGGTGGTTTTTCTTGCAAAGCGATTAAAGTTTTTTCTTCCATATTATCTCTCTAGACTTGAGATTATGTATCAAATGCGTTTCCATATGTCTTATATATGGTGATAAATTGTTCTGTGAGAGTGAATACTTAGATAAAAGTTATAGACCAATGTATTAATTGATTTTAAAGTGAAAATATCAAATTTTGAGTTTCTAAGTCAAAATAAATCGGTAATAAGTGGACTAAAATACATCATAAGTTTATAATTTTACGTTTCATCCTACTTCGGATGTGTAGAATTTTAATTAACAGGTTCCCTCAAATGACTTTTATGTGCTTGTTTGAAACCGGATTACACAATTCATTTGCAAACCCTATACCTGATAACATATCTATGTTGTATTTAATAGGTTTTGATACTATATATGTCAAACTTCTAAGTTTTAAACTCAAAATTGTATATCGATTCATATATCTTATGTTTTACGTTAGATCACATCTACTTTCATATAAAAATTTCTTAAAATAAACGAAGTTTTTGATATTGTCATTTTACATATATGGTTTCATCAAAGTTCAGTAATCTCAAATGAAATAAAAATTCTAAACGTAAAAATCCGAGTCAATAAGTTTATCATTTTAATAAATGCGTATTGGAAATTCTATAATGTAAAATTTAAAATAAGTATGTAGACGATGGATCATCCTATTTCATAATTATTACATATAGTTTTCTATTATGATCAAA